GTGAAATATATTTATGTTTGTGGTTGTAATGTGACAAAATATGGAAAAGTTCAAGGGGTATGAATACTTTTGCAAACCACTGTATCTCCAGCCAGAACACCAACTGCAGACGGTCAGTTTCAGCTAAAAAGGCTCCTGTCCGTCTGTGTCGGGTTCATGAAACCGTCAGGTGAAAAAAAAAATTCTCCCCCGATTGGTTGCTGCTGCGCGTCGAGCAGCCAAAGTTCAGTTTGCTGAACTTTAGCAGGACCTTGCCGCCATGTGCGGAAACTGCTCTGCCGCATCCTACTGCTACCCTGCGCGCTGCTCTGAACTGGCAAAACGCGCCGCAACACGCTGCGCTGCTCCTAGATGCGCGTCCACCATAGACTTTACATGTAAACTGGCTGCTTTGGCTGCTCCAAACGCGTTCGGTGTGAACCCGGCTTAAGAATAGAAGAAACCCTAGAAGCACCGAGGCTCTAGCCTGCCATGAACTGGAGACTGCTGGATCCTCTGAGTCTCTGCCACAGTCAGCCCAGTGTTTTATTGCTACAGTCCGGTGCCGAAAACACGTATAAACTTTTGCATTTCCTAACAGACAGTAGTGACAGGAAGAAACTTTGAAAATATTAAATCTTCATCAACACCTGTCTGTCTGTCTCCAGAGCAAAGAAGCCTCCAACACCTGCCACCTGACCAGCCTCTTGCTGCTGAAGGTCTGAAAGCGCAGCCTTTTTGTTCTCAGTCTGTCTCTGAAGTCACCTGACTGAACTCTGATCCTCTCCTAWAGGTCAGCATCTATCAGCATTTTGAAACCACGAGGTCAGCGATGTCCTGTCTGCAGCAGCTCTGTAGCCTGCTGCCTTTTAACCCCTGGCACTGGTTCAGTCTGGGACAGATGTGTTTGCAGCTGCTGGACAGCGACACGACCACAGGTACATTTAGTCTGTCAGAACACACATTTCCTTTGTGTCACTTTGAATTCTGATGCTGTTGATGAGCCAGTGGCAAGTCTGGGTGAGACGAAGAACAAAATGGGCCGCAGCCATTTAAAAAATAACAGAATTTAAAAACAAAAAACATCACAGCCATTAAAACAAACACCTGTCTGTAAACCTGTTAATGCTGTCAGTTTCACAACTATGTTATCCATTGTTAAAAGGGTTTAAATTCCTACAGTGGATTCTTTGATATTAATGTGTAGATAAATCTTTTTATCTTTAACTCATCTTTTTTTTTTTTACCAGAATCAGCAGCAGGGCCTGAGGAGAACCAAGAGGAGACTGCAGAGCTCAAGGAGGACCAGATCTGGCTCAAAGCTTGCATCTGTTTCATCAGAACAAGGTGCAGCTCTCAAGTTTAAAACAACAAATCACAATAACTGCTTTCCCAGCAAGAGAGGTCAGAAATACTTTTCAGTTTACAAATGCATACAGACACATTTCAGACTTCACAGTAGAAATACGCTGCAGACTGATCAGTCAATACAGTGGTTTGCAAAAGTATTCATACCCCTTGAACTTTTCCATATTTTGTCACATTACAACCACAAACATAAATATATTTCACTGGAATTTAATGTGAAAGACCAACACTTTCACATTAAATTCCAGTGAAATATATTTATGT